GGGGGTTATGGCTATGGGGGCTATGGCTATGGGGGCTATGGAGGCCTTGGGGGCTATGGGGGTTCTGGCTATGGGGGCTGTGGGGGCTCCAGAGGCGTCGGCACCTGCGATTTCGGGGGGCTGGCGCAGTGGCCACAGGTACCTGAGTGGCAACTGCGGGCCCTGCTAAGCCCCAGCCCGGCCACAGACCCAGAGGAGCTGCAGCAAACCCCCCAGCACATCCCGACACGGCGCCTGGAGGAAGGACACCCCTCTGCCATCACTGGGCTCCAGAGCTCGGGCACCTCGTGCCTGCTCGGGGCCCAGCTCTGCCCCTTTGCTGCTGTGCTTGAGCCTCCCCTCAGGACCCGCTGCCTCCTCCCGGCACAGCCCCGGGCTGGGCTCCTGATCCCGCTCCCGCCGGGGGGCTCGGCACAGCTCTGCCCACTGCCAGGAGCCAGGGAAGCCCTTGGCCAGGGCCCTGCTCTTCTGCCAACTCCCTCCTCCCGTCCAACTGCAATAAAAGCTGTCTTTGCATCGCAATCTTGAGCCCTGGTTTCATTTGCTCTGTCCTCCACACCCAATCCCCGAGTGGCACCGGGCCTTTCCAGGAGTGTCCCAGCAGCTCCCGCTCGCTGAATTCTTAGGAGGACATGTGGGAGCTGCCAGGCTTCTTCCTGCCTGTCCCTGGCCATCCCAGCCCTCTGCAGGACAGGCCCCACAGCCAGCACCATCAGCATCTCCCTTTGCAGCAGCCTCTCCCTCTTTTCCCTTCATGTCCCCTCCCCACTTTGGGCTCCTGCACTCTGCAGCCCAGCCAGAGCTCCTGGGACACACAGGCAGTTCCCTGACCACTCCGGACATTCCCAGTGGGCTGCCTGAAGGCCAGGGCTCTGGGCATTGGAACACAAATGGAATCACTCCAAAGACACAGCCCAGCTCAGAGTCACTTGGGAGGCCGTGGGTCGATAGGGGAGAGGGGGAACAACCCCCACACCTCCCCAACTCCTTTGCCTCCATCCTCTCCAGTCTTCTTGCAGCCCCACACCACCTCCCTCTCCTTTTTTTACTGTGGGTTCCACTGCTCCTTGGAGCACTTCTGGCCCTGTCTTGCCTCCACAAGTCCTTCCTGGGATTCTCTGTGTCCCCCACACAACCCCTGAGGACACGACTCTGCCCGGGAATGGCAGGAGAGCTTCCCACAGCCCCATGCTCTGGACCAGACTCTGCTGGGCCAATGTAGGCTTTGAACCTATGGAGTCTCCGTGGCCAAGCTGGACTCGGGGGTCCATGGGGCCTATGGGGCCTGTGGGGCCTGGGAGCACTGTGGGGCTCATGGGAACCACTATGGGGCTCATGGGGCCCACGGCGCCTGTGAGGTCTTGGAAGCTGGTGGAGCACATGTGGCCTATCTGGTCTGTGAGGTGTAAGGACCTCTGTGGACTATGGGGCTTCTTTGGCAAATATGGAAGGGAGTGACCTCAGCAGGGTGGGCAGTTTGAGCCAAGGGTGGTGGGCACTCCAACCTCCTGCTCCAAGAGCTTTGGCCTTCATGAGACTGAACAGCTCAGGACATTTCATGGCCCTGAGAGGAAACTTGGCCAGATTTGGCTGGATCTGTCTCACCACCCCTTCCCAGTGACCACCATCTCCAGCTGGGAACACGGACATGGCCACAGACCCTGGACATGCACCTGGTCATCCCTCCATTTCCCTGCACCTCCAAAGGTGACCAACACGAGGCTGATTGGAGGAGGTGGTGCCAGGCAAGCTGGTTTGGCAGAGGATTTGGAAGAGTTTTTGTAAGTCACCCCTGGCACTTTCCTATGGTCAGGGTGGGCTTTGGGAATGTCTCATGTCTCTCTGTGGCGGGACAGCAGGGGAAACTCGGTGGGATGTGCCACCCCAGAGCCTGCTGGGATTGTCTCCATCATCTGCAACACAGGGACCAAAGTGCCCAAAGGCTCGAAGGACACTGGCGTGGAGATTCCAGCAGCCAGCCAGACCCTCCCCGAGATTTGGGGGAAGTGCGAAACAAGGAAGGATGAATTAAAACCAGAGGTCAACATTGCAATGCAAGACAGCTTTTATTGCAGTTGGAGGGGAGGAGGGAGCTGGGACAAGAGCAGGGCCCTGGGCAAGGGCAGCCCCGTCTCCTGGCAGCGGGCAGAGCTCCGAGGAGCCCCAGCCAGGCACAGGAGCAGGAGCCAGAGCGAGTGTCTGTCAGCAGGGCCAGCGAGGCTCTGGGAGGGCTCAGGGGGGGCAGCAGGAAGGCAGAGCTGGTTCCCAGGCAGGCACGAGGCGTCCAGGCTCTGGAGCCAGAGATGCTGAAGGGCTGTTTCTCCACAGAAGGTCGTGTCGGGATGTGCCAGTGGCTCTTCTGGAGCTCTCCTGGCTCCGTGGCTGGGCTCGGGCTGGGGCTTAGCAGGGCCCGCAGTTGCCACTCAGGTACCTGTGGCCACGGCGCCAGCCCCCGTACCCACAGCTGCCATAGCCCCCATAGCCTCCCCAGCCCCCAAGGCCTCCATAGCCATAACCCCCATAGCCCCCAAGGCCTCCATAGCCCCAACCCCCCATAACCATAACCCCCATAGCCCCCGTAGCCTCCGTAGCCCCCACGGCCTCCAAAAGTGCCACCGTA